CACACACACACACACACACGATGCAATTCTGCAGTAACCGCCATCAAATCTTTAGAGCTACAAGGAGCTTCCCCAATTCTGAAAGAGGAAGGAACCAAAGAAAAGAAATAACTTGCCCAAGGGCACACAGCAAGTCAATCAGTGTCACTGGACTCAGGTGTCTTGTTGCACCTCACAGCATAGACTTCCCCTTGGAGGGTGGGGCTCTCCACTGCAGCCCCAGGGAAGCAGACATGGGGTGGAGGAGGGGGAGGAGACAGACTCCCAACTCACTCTTCTAGAGCAGCCAGTTTCAGGGGCCTGCCGGCCACAAAGGAGGAGAAAGGAGCAGTTTGCTGGGGCTGGGGCCGTTGGCATCTCTGAGATATCCTTTGATCACACAACAAACCCAACCTCAGAGTGGGACCTTCCCTGCTTAGAGTGGACCCACACCTAATCCTCGCTCTCCCGGCATGAAAAGGAGCCAGTCTTCTCGCCCAGTCCTGCAAAGCCTCCCCCACCCCCACCCCCTCTCTCCCAGAACGCCCCCTCTCCCAACAACAGCGCATAGTTGGTTCTCAGTAAATATTCATTAAATATAATAAAAGTCAAGTCGATGTTCGTCCTAACTCACAGTCATGTTAGTGCATTGTTTTAATCACAACTTTGCTTACACAGAGGGCCCTCAGGTAAGGTAGTGCAGGACTGCTGAAAATCACATGAAGCAAATCTCAGAGATACTGGCTCATCAATAAAGATGGTGAACAAAAGGGACAGGATATTTCAGTTGTGTCTAACACCAATGCCTTGGCACAGTGACGAATTGCAAGAAAGAAGCCAGTGATAGCCTGGGGACTAATAAAATGATCCGGAGACCCAGGCTTCCTCCAGAAGCCCCCTCACTAGCATCTCTACTCCCACACTCCCTCTTTCCACCACCCAATCCTCTGTGCACGCCAGCTATCAGACTGATGGGTCTCACTACGTGTATCACAGGACACGCTTGCTCAAACGCCTTCAATGGCTCCCTATCTCCTCCGCATGAGATTTGTACTGCGTGGCTTTCAGGGACCTCCTCGGTTTGGCTTAGCCTCAACTCAACACCGTTTCCCACTGCTCTCTAGAGCACGTATTTTCCACTAGTCAGTTGGTCTCCTCACCCAGCTCCGACAGTGTAAGACAGGGGTGGGATGAAGATGAAATTTGGAGCCTGAAGGCCCGGATATGAGTCCCAGACCCACCATTTGACCTCTCTGAGCCAAGTTTCCATTGGGTAAAATGGGGATGATAATAATATCCACTTCGTAGAGCTGGTATAATGGATGTTAAAGTACTTGATGAACTATATAGGGCTAAAGGAATGACAATTGTTCATATCTAGTCATGGTTATTCCCACCTCCAGCACTGTCTTGGATCTCCTGACTCTTACACCCAGTCCAGTCCAGCTCAGGCCCAGTTGCCCATAGAAGATCATGCCTGATGATAACTGGAGTTCTTGTTGGCCCTAGCTTTTAAGGCCTCACATATAAAGTATCTTGATCTGATCACTGTGTCTTGCACATGTGAGCCTTAAAACTCCAGGCTTACTTAGGTCGGCCGGTTAGCTCAGGTGGTTAGAGCACAGGCTCATAACACCAGGGCTGCCAGTTCAACTCCCGCAGGGGCCAAGGAGCTGCACCCTCCACAACTAGATTGAAGACCACTACTTGACTTGAAGCTGATGGGTCCTGGAAAAACTGTTCCCCAATAAAATTTCTAAAAAGAAAAAAACAAACAAAAAAACAACTCCAAGCTTAAGTTTATTTACTTGTATATAATATAATACAACAATGCAGGCTTCCTAAAATTAAAAAAATAAGGACACGTATAATAGCAAAGCTCAAGAAACAAATGAAGGGGAAGTGCAGAAACATCACTGAGGGAGGAAAAGGACAATTATGCTAGACATCGGGTTAAACTGGCTGCTGTATTTACGTACCCTTGGAGGTAATCCTCATTTTCTCTAATTCACCTTTCTGTAGAAGAGAGAGTTGCATGTCCCAGCCCATGAAAGGGGAGCGTTGGAATGGGACTTTGCCATCTCTCTCCTCCTGGGGAGGAAGAGTGGCTACTGAGATGAGCGCGGTCCACAGTTATCACTGTGGTCACTGAGTCAGGGGCTGTGACGCAGCCTACACTCCTTGGTCTGACCAGAGCAGAGCAGGTTCCTCCTCTCTGTTCCCCCCAGACTGCTGATAGGCCACCTGCACAAGGAATCACCTCTCACTGCCCCCTCCCTCCCCACCAACAATACCATCAACTAGCAGGGTAGTCACCATTCTCCTGCTGCTTCAACTCCACTGGCCTTCTAGAAACAGGCCTGTAATCTGTTCCCTGGTTGGCTTGAATTTGTGAACTCAGCGTCTGTTTGGCAGAATATGCAAATCCCAAAGTCGAGTTCAGGAAAGGAGTAGGAGGTCCCACCCTGATACAGGGGTTAAAAGAGAACCTGCAGTTTTGGAAGCTTACTTTGTCATCAGTTAAGCTGATACTCTGATGTGTATATGGCTAGTGGTCTTTGAACCTATTTTCAATCACTCTGAAAGAGGAGAGATGGTTTTAGAGCCCTTACTTCCAGCAAACACAAATGTGAACTATGAGCTTCTTGATATCCTAGGTATCATTATTTGATTTTTTTTTAAATGGAAATATGGCTGAAGTTAAACAGGAATATGTCTTGATATAAGGGACACTAAGTAACACAATGAATGGGGTCATCAATGAGGGTTTAGCAGAAAATGCCAAATGTGTTTTTTTTGTTTTGTTTTGTTTTATAATAACCTGTAATAAAAGTTAAGGACATAGTAATAATTTATAATTCGATGTAAATGAACTAAATTAATACAATTCAAATCTATTTCTTTGTGATGACCCAATCAGATACATGGACAAGGCTTAATTCATTGTCTCAATCATGTTTTTGGCAAGAATAAATAACAGACAATTTAGAATTAAACTCATGAACTCACATATACTATGGAAATAAAAACTGGTATGACCCTTTGGAAAAGAACTTGGCAATATATATTGAGCATCTTAATATTCCTCTCTTTAATTAGCAATTCCACTTCTGGAAATTTATCTTAAGAAAAATGAATATTTTAAAAGTTATATA